GGGACTGGTGTGCCTCTGAGGCAGAGCATCGCCTCTGTCTGTCCCTTGGACTTCTGGAGTAGCACCAGAAGTCTCTGCCACCTCTGCTTAAAGTTATTAGTTGACAAGACCATAGTAATGTCATCAACCTTTCAAGTAGCTCATAAGGGGTAGAAACAAAAGGTTTTGTGACAGTTTATGGGAAGGGAAAGTTAAACTTACGTTGCATCTGTGTTGGTAATGAGGTTCTGAGCATCTGTTAATTAACAAGGAGAAATGTTGTGTTTGGGTTAGCATGTCTCTGGAGTTTATTAGCATGGGATTGATGTTGCATCTGTGTTGGTAATGAGTTTCTGAGCATCTGGTAATTAACATGGAGAAATGTTGTGTTTAGGTTAGCATCTCTCTGGAGTTTATTAGCATGGGATTGATTGAGAATATATTGGATTGAGAATACCATGGATTGCCTTCGTGGTGGGTTGACCGTGGCTGGATGCCAAGTGCCCACCAAAGCTACTCTGTTACTCCCCTACTCAGCTGGACAGGGGAGAGAAGATGTAATTAAAGACTCCTGGGTCGAGGTGAGGATGGGGAGAGATCACTCACCAGTTACCATCATGGGCAAAACAAATTCAGTTTAGGGAAATTAGTTTAATTTATTACCGATCAGAGCAGGATAATGCTAGAAATTAAATCTCAAAACGCCTTCCCCCACCCCTCCCATCTTCCTGGGCTCAGCTTTGCTCCCAGATTCTCTACCTGCTCCCACCCAGCAGCACAGGAGGATGCAGAGTGGGCGTTGCTGTTGGTTCATCACAGATGCTGCTCCTTCCTCCACAGAGGGAGAACTCTTCACACTCTTCCCCTGCTCCAGCGTGGAGTCCCTCTCACAGGAGACGTTCTCCACAAACTGCTCCAGTTGTGAGTCCTTCCCACGGGCTGCAGTTCTTCACAAACACTCCAGCATGGGTCCCTTCCCCAGGGTGCAGTCCTTCAGGAACAGGCTGCTCCAGCGTGGATTCCCCACAGGGTCACAAGTCCTGCCAGCAGACCTGCTCCAGCATGGGCTCCTCTCTCCATGGGTGCACAGGCCATGCCAGGAACCTGCTCCAGTGTGGGCTTCCCTCAGGGTCACAGTCTCCTTCAGGTGCATCAGCCTGCTCTGGTGTGGGGTTCTCCACAGGCTGCAGATGGAGATGTGCTCCACTGTTACCCTCCATGGGCTGCAGGAGGACATAGTCTCACTCCTTTCTCCAGCTGCAGTTGCTGTTGTGCAACAACATTTCTCCTTCTTAAATAGGTTATCACAGAGGTGCTACCACCATCACTGATGGGCTCAGCCTTGGCCAGTGGCAGGTCCATCTTGGAACTGGTGGCATTGGCTTTATTGGACATGGGGGAAGCTTCTAGCAGCTTCTCATAGAAGCCACCCTGGTAGCCCCACCACTACCAAAACCTTGCCATGCAAACCCAGGACAACCATGCAACGGTATGAGAAAAGGTTTTTGGGATTCATAGACATCAATGAGTACAAACTAGATGGATTAATGAGTTATTTCAACTTCCTCTGTTAGACAGAAGAACTCTTTGGAGGCCTTTGGAAGTACTTAGGTATCTACTCAACGGGGGGTTGGTTTGTGTGTGGAAAATTCATATAAAACATTGGCTTTAGTGGAAGTCCTTACCCATCTTGGTGAGGCCACAAAGTCTTCCAGGTGCCTGAAGAAGAAGTGTTGGATTGATGGTGCTTGAAATGGAGATTCACATCACACCATAAACACAGCACAACAGCAGCAACACAGGTTTACTCACGTCGTGCAGCAGTGGTGAGGAAAATGCCTTTGCAGTGTAGCAAAAGGTTTGTTCTCTGTGATTTCTCTTCTTGGCTCCTCTGCTTGAACCAACATTCCAAGCAGTGGTGCTAGTAGCAGAGAAATCTCCTTCCTGTGAATAAAAGTCCATATTGCTCCAGGATTCAGGATGATCTCTGCAT